TCTTAATCATTTGACCACTATACTTAGAAAGATGTGTGAAAATAAATTTAGTACTAAATTAGAAACAAAATGTCAATTTATGGTAATGGAAAGGATTGTTCTATGACACAAGAATTCAAAGATAGGTTTAGAAGTGGACAAGGACAAGGTTCAAGTTATAGAAACTTTGCTACTTCCTACTTCTATTAAAGGAATTAGAAGTTATCTTGGACATGCAAGATTTATAGGGGATTTATAAAGGACGTTTTTAAAATCTCTAAGTTGTTATGTCATTTACCACAAAAAGAGGTTGCTTTGTATTTGACTCTACATGTCATAATGCTTTTAAAACTTTAAAATAACATTTAATCATTGCAACTCTCATTGTTGCACCTAATTTATCTTTGACTTTTATAGTTATGTGTGATGCAAGTGATTCTATTGTAGGCGTTATTCTTGTCCAAAAACAAGATAAAAATTTCATGTTATTTTTTTGTTAGTAGATCTTTGAATGCTGCACAATACAATTATATAACTATTAAAAAAGAAATTCTATCTATTATCTTTACTTTTGATAAATTTTGGTCCTACTTGAATGGCATAAAAATTATAATGTATACTATCAATTTTTTCATGCAAAAAAAGGATACCAAACCTAGATTAGTTAGGTGGATATTCTTGTAACAAGTATTTGATGTAGAAATATGGATAGGAAATGTATTGAAAATCAAATTACGGTTCATCTTTCAATACTTAAATTTAATGAATATGATCCATTAATACTTAAATTTAAAGAATATGATCCATTAAAAATGATATCAATGAATTTTGTTTTTATGAGCAACAGTTTGCTTTACATTTGAGTAAATTTCCTTGGTATGCTGATTTTGTAAACTTCATTGTTAGTGGCGTGATTCCATTTTTATTTACCTTTTACTTAAAAATAAAAAATTCCACATAATGCCAAATATTACTTTTGGGATGAGCCATACTTATTTAAAATTTATAATTAAAGAATATCAGGATTCAAATTATAGAGGACATTTTGGAGGATATAAAACTTATAAGATTTTGTAATGCATATATTAAGTTGCTTTACAAAATTTACTTATATTCGTTCTTGTTAACTGTGTATGTTATATTATTATAATTATAATTATTATTGTTATTATGTAGTTAAAATTTTTATTTAAGTATAATTCCCTACACTGCTTAACTATTGAAATTATCCTTTCAATAGTGCTTGCACTTTGATAGCTAAATTAGCCAAATTAAAAATTATAGTTAAAAATGATCTAAAATTAAGAATAATACAAATCCTAGGTTCTAAATTGAATGAACAAAGTATAACAATTTTTAATTTGAAAATCATAACAATAAACTAAACAAAGCATCTAAGTAAATATCTCATCTTAAACTTCAAATACTAAACATGTAAGCACTGACTAATGATTTCAAGATTGAATAATTAAATTTAGGAAAAGAGAGTGTGTAGAATAAATTATTATAAACTCCATAGAATGAGTGAGCTTATAATAATCTATACATTAATTCAATTTAGGGCTTATTAAAGGAAGAAGACAATCAAATAGTCAAAATTATTACTATAGTAATCAAATATATTTAAAAAAAGAAACTCATGAAAAATAGGCAAATCAAAATAAAAATAGAAAAAAAATTTGAATACTTCATCAAAAATTGGTAAATGATGTAGTCACATTCTTAAAAGAACTTGAATACTTAATTAAAATAGGGGAGTTTAAGTAAACTAATACACATGAAGGATTTCATATGAATTTCTCATTTTACTAAAGGTACAAACAAATTTTAAATGAAGTATTATTCAACTATAAAATCAGTAGTCAATAATACACTTACACTTGTAGTAGATAAATTCAATTTAAATATAAATAAATATGATTACAACACTTTGATCATTACAATTTACATCTAAATGGTAGTGTATTGTATTATATTTTAGTTACTTTTACATTACCAAATGTTTTTTTAGGCTAATGAAAATGATCAATAGTTGAATACACCATTGCTTGAGGACAAGCAAGAGCATAAGCTGGGGAAAATTTATTAAGTGAAAATTATGAAGTATTTTCTTATTTTAATTCTAGTAAAAATATTATTTTTAGTTGATGTTGTGTAGGAATGTCAAAAAAAAAGAGACAAAAAATTACAAGTATTAAATAAGCATCGAGGCGCTCAAAATATCAATGTCGCAGCATCTACAACACCCTGCCACTAGATCAAGAAATAATTAATTTAGCATTATAACTGAACAAAGGTTAGTGCAATAGTGCTTCAAAACACTGCAAATCTAGAAATCAACATTACAACACCGAAGTCATAAGAATTTTGAGTACCGGAGAGCTGTATTGCACAATGCCATAATTTTGGATTAAACATTCAAGTGTTGCATTTCTCAACTTTTGCAACATCATGGTTGAGCAGTTGACTAAATGAGGAGCCACACACATGAGCAAAGAGACTCACTGGTTTATCTAATAGCCATAATGGGTCAGTCCAACAATGGATGGAACCTACGTAGCATCACCAAGGTGCTAGTTCATATTATAATGTCGTGGACCCACCATGTCACGTGTTCTGATGCTTGAGTCCATTTATATACTTAATATAAATAATTTTTTAGCCTTTTTATATTGGGGGATTTATATCATTTTAGTGAGTCCTGAGTGACTAAGTATAGTGCTACTTTAGAGTCAAGTTTAAGGGAGACCAGAAGATAGAAATAATAACTGTAGGAGGGCTATAAATCTTCCTTCAGTTCCTTACAAGCTCGATAGAGATCTAAGGATGTATAAGTTATTATTTACGAACAACATAAGAGAGTCTACTTAGGAAAGCTTTGAAAATTCACTATCATCAGTCCAAAATACTTTAGTTATTGATATATTATCTTTCTTTTGCATTTCTCAGTAGGAAAGAATCCTAGCTCCACCCCTACTATTAGTGATACTTTTTATTATCTCAACACTGCATCTCATAAAAAAATTCTATTCTCGATAACCAATCCTCTGTTATATGTGGCTTCTATATCTTTGAAAAGCAACATCTTCAAATTATGAAATATCAGTAGACATCTATCTACTGCATCTCTTCTACTAGTAGACTATCTAGTATGTACATCACCTATTAACTGAGCTACTAAACTGACAAACTATAAGAGACGACGCCTTCAAAAATTTAGTTCATCCATTTACCGAAGATTCGAATGGGGATGCAGTGCAAGTCTACATTGAGCAGTATGTGTATGATTCTTCAAGGCTTCGAGGGACTCACAGGAAGCCTCTTCATGTGGTAATTTTAAAGCCCGCATTCAAAGTCTTCGATCCGGGAATCTTCCTTCTGCAACTTCTTTGTCAATAATGCGTCTCGACGGAGTCGAGCCTTTTTTTTCGCTAGGGGAGAATGATGCGGTGCATCTTATGCTTTTGGTGTTCCCTAGGACACCTTATCTAAGTTTGTTAGAATGAGCTTCTAGAATTCTCTTTTTTCTTTATAAATAGGAGGTTTTGTAATAGGGAATGACATTGAATGATATATACACTCTTTTGAAGCTTTTGAAGCTCTCTTCTTCTTCTTCCCTGGATTGGGAAGCCCAAATCCTTCTTGCAGGTCGCATCTTCCGACGATCCACTACATCAATAGGAGATTCTACTTAGGAAAGCTTTGAAAATTCACTATCATCAGTCCAAAATACTTGTTATTGATATCTTATCTTTCTTTTGCATTTCTTAGTAGGAAAGAATCCTGGCTCCACCCCTACTATTAGTGATACTTTTTATTTTCAATAATTTGTGCCCCACATGAAAAAAATCCTGGCTCAACTCCTATTATTAGTAATACTTTTTATTATCTCAACACTGCATCTCATAAAAAAAATTCTATTCTCGATAACCAATCCTCTGTTATATGTGGCTTCTATATCTTTGAAAAGCAACATCTTCAAATTATGAAATATCAGTAGACGCCTATCTTCTACACCTCTTCTACTAGTAGACTATCTAGTATGTACATCACCTATTAACTGAGCTACTAAACTGACAAACTATATCATACAATCTATGTTATAGGACATATTGTACCTTATATGAGTAATGTTTGATAGGAATTTTGTCCATTAGTTATTTCTTATTCTTGGGAATCCACAAAATCATAAGCATAATACTTCATACTTGAATAATCATATCTAATAACTCAAAATAACTCACATGCGTATATAAATGAAACAAATGATTAATTTCAAAACTATCTAAATTTCTATGAATATGCATATATGAATAAACTTTTGACCTTAAGAAAACAATTCTTAAAATAAAAATAATTGATTTTAATATATTTAATTAATCTTATGAATTAACTTTTGATTATGATTCCACGATCTTTCACTTTCAATATGTCTATTATTAAAGAAGTTGACTTATTAAATTCTTAAAGTTTGAGAAAAAAATTAATATTAATTTAAATAAAGTTAAATTAATGCTACAATAATTTTAAATTTATTTATTTATTAAAATTTAATAATCATTTATATAAATATTATTTTAAAATATTTAGAATAAGTAAGACAAATTCATATATATATATATATGTGTGTGTAAAATTTAAACTCAAAATTTATTAGGTGATAATCAAGACTGAAAACTGACAGACTTAAAAGAGATGCGTAATCACATGAATAGTGATGTAATGAATTTGAGAAACCTTCCATTTTGACCAGGGCAAGACAACGGAGAGATGCCATGCTACAAGATTATCAAATATCTGGCCGGCTTACCATAAAAAATATCGTTGATACCTAAATCATTCCTGGACGGCCGATTCACGTGATTGCCATCCGCGGCATCATCCATCGGCTCCGCAAACAGCCACGTGTACGAGCAAGAGTCGCCGAAGTCGAAATTTGGAATTTGGCGCGCGAGGGGTCAACATGCTGGAGGTTCGGATTCCGAACCTAATCAGTATTTATTACACCAATAAAATAACAAATAAAAAGAGGCAGCAAAATATTTTCTTCGTTCATCGAATCTGAAAATTCTCTCCCTTATAGCTTCTACATGAATCGAACCCCTCTACACAGCACACGCAATTTCCTCCTGCTCAGAAAACCCTTATTGCCTCTTTTGATCGCTTAACTGTTTATCCTGATGTTTTTGGAGCTTGAAGTGGAGTTGCCAGATTTTAACTGAATGTTCGTGAGGTGCTTTGATTCGTCTGGTTTTCTGGTGGTCCTGAGCAAGCTAGGCAGGATAAAAAATCGATCTCTTTGGAGGAGAGAGAAAGATAGTCGTGAAATTTTGATTAAAATTCTCTTTGGGCTTGAGGTGAAGCCTACTAGGGTTCCTGAAGTGTACAGGAGGAGACAGCGGCTCCTTTTGTTTTTCTGCGTGACACGCTTTAGAGCGTTTTGAGAGGTAAGGAACGCACTTCTCGTGATCTATATGTGAGAAAAAAAAAGGCCTATTCTAGTTTCCAAACAAGTGGCTTGGCTTTGTTATCATGTATTTTTCTTTATTTATAAATAAATCAGGATTTGGACACGCTTACGATTTATCTCCCACTTAATGCAGAGATGTAGAAGTAATTTGTATTGTAGCTTTCAAAACATTAAAAAAAAATTACATTTTTTTTTTTTTTTTGCGGCTGTGAAATCCTTTTTCGATGACCTCCCATTTTAATGCAGGATGCCAGAGTTGGCCTGCGAATGACATAATTCAGATAAAACTTCTGCTGCTTTGATGTTGACACTTATGGGTCAAAAGGGTTTTATTCCGTAAAATGTTAATTAAGGAGAAGTTCTTTGATTTAGAGGAGTGATGTTTGTTTCTCTTCAGGGAAGAAATTATTGTGCCTTCATCTGATTTACAATTGAGTTTCCTTTTTTTTACTTGTGATGCTGGAGAGCAAGAAAGCAGTTTCATCTTCTTCATCCCTGGAATTGGATCCATTATTGAAGGATCTTAACGAAAAGAAACTTAGTTTTAGAAGGAATGTTGTCTCTTTGGCAGCAGAGCTCAAGGATGTTCGGAATCGTTTGGCATCACAAGAGGAATCGTTTATCCAAGAGGCACAATCAAGACAGGTAATTTATTTATTTGCATGATTTGTCATTGGATTTTTCTTGATATACAGTTGAGCAAAATTCTTTCTCAGTTAGCAGAAGCAAAAGCTAGGAATTTGGAAGAGGAGATTGTTACTCTGCAGAATTGTTTAAATGAGAGAGATTACCGGTTGAAGGCATCTTCCTCGAACAGTGAACAGGTCAGCGCTTCTGGTTTTTCAAAAATCTTATTTAGATTTATGTATTTTTTTATTCTTTATTCCGTTTTCGCTTGGTTGCTGGACCTTTAATTGGTAATATATGGTCAAGATTTTTCGCTTTATTTGCTTTACAACGAAATCTTCTGTTTATAACAAAGACTGTATTGTTTATACATGTTGATTAAGCTGTTCTCTACCTTACGCCTAATGTTGATTTCTATAAACTAAAAATGCTACTTGGCCAAAAGGTTGTGCTCATTTTCCTAAATAAATTTAAGTTCTAAAAGATATGTGTAATTAGAATTTTTCGACCATTACATGCATGGAATATGCTGTCAAGATTCACGTATTTAGCAGTATTAGGGTTGAAAACCTTTTTAGTTAAAAAAAGAAGGATGAATACCTTTTTAGTAACGCCAGGATAAAAAAAAACTCATATTTATTACTGAAGCTAGTATTAAATTGAATGAAGCGGGACATTGGTTGACGATTGGTATAAAGTTTAGAACCAAGTTAAAGCTCACTGAATGCATCTTAGTCTGTGAATGCTAAGTTTTCTAATTATATGGCCTTGCCTTTTAAATTAGTTGCAGTGTCGATGGCTTTTAGAAGTTATTCCATTTCTTTTGCTTTTTATTGTTCAATATAATTGTTTAAAGAAAGCTGGTGAAAATATGTTATGACTGTCAGCTATGTATTCAAGTTGGAATGAAGATATTGTTATTCCCAATTTGGATTCTTATATATTTCAAGTACAATGTAGATTTACATTGTATTATGTATTTTTTTAGGTGGTTAGGTTTGTTGTAAAATATTCTACACAATCTTTTTATTTTTGTTTGATTGATCAAAAAATGAAATAAATTGTCTTTTGATTTTAGTTTAAAACGTGCCGTGGAAGGTGGTTTTGCAAGTTGGATATTTTGTGGCGATGGCTGTGGACTCTTAGTTAGGTTTGTTGGTGCAAGATTGTGAATGGTGATAATAAGCACAAAGAATGTGGTCTGGGATTAGGATCGATGCTGGTTGTTGGGGCGATGGTTGTGCATAGTGGGTAAGGTTGCTCGTGCTAGGTTGTGGTTGCCAATGCATTCCATGAGCCTCAAGAAATTGCTTTATATATATGTCATTCAATTATACACCTTAATTTTCAATACCCTTGCATTATGCAACAAAATTGCACGAATGATGGTCATGAATGCTTGACTAGAGGCAGGATTGGGCTTGGGGATGACTTGTGTAGAGTTGATTTGAGGTCAGGGTTAGGGGTGCAAATGAGCCGAGTCGAGCTCGAGTTAGGATGTGTTTGAATCGAGCTCAATTGTCAAAAATTGAGCTCGAGCTTGAGCTCAAGTTCGACTCGTTCCATCGTAAATGAGTTCGAGTTGCTTGTCGAGCCTCCAGCGTGGTTCTCAAAAAATTTATTTGGGGTCTTTTTGGGCTTGCTGTTAACGGGAGGAAGAGATATATATATATATATATATAAAGTATTGAGTAGATTTTTTAGGTTTGCTGTTAGCATTTATTATTCGGTGACTGCGGCTATCAGAGGAGAGAGAGAAAGAGAGAGAGAGAGTATTGAGCATATTTTTTGGGTTTGCTATTAATGGGAGGGAGAGAGAGGGAGGGAGGGAGGGAGACTACTCATTCATATTTGAAATAGATGCGTGGGCGGGCGGGAATTCAAAATACATGTGGGCTGGGATTATTATTATTTCTAAAAAATGACTTGTAGAGAAATACTCTACGGGTCTTTTGTTTGCAACTATTTAAAATTTATGTTTTTTTTTTTAATTTAAATTATTTAAAATACTTTATGGTGTTTTAGTAGTTGTAAAATAAAGAATTCACTTTTTAGTGTTTGAATGACCAAAAAGTAAAACACTTTTTGTATTATTAGTTTTTTTTGTCAGGGCAGGATAAGGGGCCTATGATGGTGGCGGACGGAAGGGTCAACAACATCGATGGTCGTTTGTGTCACTAGCGGGTTGTCAGCTTGGATGTCGTAAGGGTTAGGGTTCACAAGTCATCGATGCACTGATTTGTGAGGCTGTCAGTATCATGCAATGGAATCGCAATTATCAAATAGCGTGATGTATTTTGAATTTTCTTGAATTTTTGAAATATGTTGAATGCGATATATTCTAAACTCCTCAAAGGAGTGCTTGTATTTTTTTCTTATTTGAACATCTAAGTTTCAAATTGTTCTACTTTACACTAGTAATACATTCAAATAAATAGCTTCTTCATTTGTTTTTATTCATAATAAACATCTTAAAATTAAAAAAAAAAAAAACATATATTTCAAACACTATGCCCCTAGCACCCCATAACAAACAACCCCTTTATTTGTTTTAATTGAACTCTTTGTACTCCAATTCATGGCATATAAATTTTATTTGTATGTTAAAAGATACAGTTGATAGATTGTTGAATATGACAGTCTTATTGGTTCAAAAGCTCTATTTTTTACATCAAATGAAGCTTGCTACTCCTAGGAAAAACCTATAAGATGCAATAGATTTATCATGATGTAGCACATGTTATTGGAAAATAGCGCAACATAGTGTGAATTTCCTCTTGCAGTTGAAGTGCATGGTTCATGATGTAGCTCATTTTATTTTAACCATAGCTCAAAATGTTGAAAAATATTGATAAAAATACAGTGAAAAATATATGAACATTTATAAAACCAATTAATTAAATACGACAAAAGTATTTTAATAAATACTCAATTTTATTTTTGAGAAAAAAGAAACATTAGGGTTAAAAATCAACATCAAATTTTATGTATAAAAGAGTAAGAGAAATACCTTTATTCTATGATGTACAAGCACGGATACGACATGGACAAGGGTTGGACGTGGTATTATATTTTTTATATTTTAAAAATAGTGTATAAAAGTTGAATAAATATAATTTTAAAAATAATTTAGAAATAATAAGTCATTTAATTAGAATTTGTGTGCTTAAAATGATTAATATTAGGATGTCGAGAGTCGGACGTTGATGATGTTTATCAGTCATCGAGAGAGGAGATGACAATGTTGTCGAGAGTCGGACATTGATGTTATGCAATAAAAATTGGGCGTCAATGTTAAGCAGGCGTTTTTCGTCGATGTTGAAAGGGCGTTGGTCGTCGATGATGAGAGGGCGTTGGTCATTGATGTTGAGAAGGCGTTGGACAAAGATGAGATGTCAAGTTGTGGGTGTAGAAATTGTTAGCATTGAGCATCAATGTTAAGACAACGTCAAACTTTGATATGGAGATTGTTTTAAAATATTGATGCTGTAACTACGTTAGACGTCGATGTTGAGATGACATCAGACATTGTTGTGAAATCAAAATTGTAACCCGCCAAAGAGAAATGCAAATGAGAATATTCGATGAATAACGTATTAAGTGCGAGCGATTGATTTGGTGTTGTCGATAGGAAATAAAAAATTTAGTTTTTATATTTTAAATAAATAAAAATTTTAAATACAAAAAATTATTTTTAAAAAGTTCATATAATATTTAAGATACGTATGTCGGACACGCGTGTCCAATTTGTTTTTACTATTTTTTTAATCGGACACATTTTCGGCGTGTCTGAAACGTGTCGGAGGAGTGTCGGACGTGTGTCGTGTCGGATACGTGTCGGACACTGCACGACTCTTTGAGGAGAAATGTTGGTGCATCATATCCTCTATTACATTCGCTTGTAGAAGCCATTATGCATCAACATTGAAGTTGAGAGCATCAACCTCTATCAAATTTGAGAACTTCAATTTTTGTCGAAGCAGTTGACCTCTTATGTTGAAGCTAAGAGTATGTTGGTTTCTCATGTTAGTATTGACATTTGTTGTCCAAGCTGAGAAGGTGAATGACTTGCATGCTAGTATTGAAGCTCGAGTGTGAAAGATTTGCCACTTTGCTTGGTAGCGTCGACCTCGTGCATGTTCATCTAAGTCAATTGCATGCCTTGCGTTTATAGTTGACTCTCAAGATGTCTTGGTAAACGCTCATTATAATTAAAAAAAACTAATAAATATAATATAAATAATATTAATATTAATATTAATTTTAAACCCTATATTATGAATAAAAATAATACATGATATGAGGGCTATGTTCATAGTGCAAATAGTGTATGCAATTTTAACCCCTCCTGCTTTATCATAAAATGGTGCAAGGGGTATGACATGACACACTATGGGCTATAGCACTATATTTTGTGCTATTTATGGATGCTTATTTCTTGAAGACTTGTGAGCTTCGTTTTGTTAATTGTGAATTCTAATTTCATTAATTAGCTTGGATATTATTTGATATTGAATTTTCAAGATAGGAGGCTATCATGAAGTTCTAATTAAAGGCTTCTGTAAAGTTTTAAATAGAGGCTATTATAAAGTCCTAAATGAAGGCTACTACATGGAAGCTACCAAAGTTTTCAATGATGGTTCATCATTAATATTAGAAGGTGAAACTTTCATTATATACATTCATGTAATCCTCACTTGTAGAGCATTCCACAACAAGAAGCAATAAAGAGGGAGGATGATGTGGCAGAGAGGAGAGGTTTGTCATCTTAAAAAGAAACTAAGGAGTTTTTTAGGTACTTGCAAGAGTTCTTCACCATGATTAAGAAGGAATAAATGTTACTTTCTCTGTTCTAGCAATAGAAGAAGCTATTGGTCATAGAGAAAAATAGTTTTCATTTAGACTCTTGTAATAGAGTGGTGAAGATAGCAATTGGAGCAACGAAGGTATCTTCTTCCCTGTGTCTAGTATTCATCTTCTTAACATGTAATTATATTTTTGCACAGTAAGACAGTGATATCTTTATTCATATCTTTAATATTGTATTAAGTATAAATATTTTTTTGCACTTTCTTTGAAGTTTAGTGGATTATTTGATCTCTGTGCAATCATGGATGCAGACTTAAGCCGAACCACATAAATATTGGTTTTTTTGTAGTTATTTTATAGTTTATTTGGTTTGCCCCTAGGTTTTCCC